GAGAATTCCGGCCAATTTGTGTTATTTTCGAGATTTAATTTATAAGCGAATAAAATTAGATGAAAGACATATAAAAGCCCTACAGACGACACCTTTTCACAGCTTTCTCAATATACCCACATCCCTGAGCAATGAGCAAATAGCAATTGATTGCTTGATTCAAAATTTTAATCCTGATAAATGCTCATTCATGATTGGGAATAAAAATTGTGTGTTCGGTATAGATGATATTCACCGAATTACCGGATTGCCAAAGGAGGGAATTCCGATAAAAATGAGTGGGGCAGCGGCTAATACAATCTACACCTATTTTGTAAAGAATTATAAGAAAGCCGATGAGGAAAAGAAGGCGGTGATTTCGGGGAAGCGCGATAGAATGGCCGAGATGATTGTAGATATGATTAATGAAGACCCTATAATATGTGTGAAACTTATTGTGGCTTTCATTATCGGCTTCATATTATGCCCGCGGACATGTAAGACATGTCCCTTGTGGGCGTTTAGATATGCGGAGCAGTTATCAACTTTGCATAAATATAATTGGTGCCATGCGGTGTTCACTCTTCTTTGCAAAGAGATGAGTAAATCAAAGAAGTCTCTTAGTATGCGGGAATTAGGTCAGCGCTCAAATGCCGGGTACATGGGTGGTTTTTCCTCCGTTTTACTGGTGAGTTACATGAACATTATTTTGTATATCTTCCCGTATTGATAATGATTACTGTTTATGCACATGCTAATGTGTAGTTTCTTTTTTGTAGGTTTGGTTTTATGAAAAAATAGGGGAATTAGAGTACACTTCAGATATTGAAAGGTTACCGCCGCTCTTTTGTGTGAAGAGTACTGGAAAGTGGAGGAGGACTACTATGAACAAATTATATAGAGTCCCGAAGTTGGTTACGGATAATGGCCAAGAGAATACTCCTCTTATTCATACGGCATCGCCAATAGTATTTGTACATATCGTTGCTCTAATAGTTCATTATTTTATGTCCCTTTTGTTAGTATCTATGTTTGCAACTATAGTATACGTACTAATACTAGCTTTTTTTTGTCAAATAGGAATCAAGAAAAGCTGAATTAATTTTCTTAATTGTGGAGAAGACGTACGAGTTGAATGAGCTCACTACAGAATTACGAGAATTAGAAGAGCGTAGTGCTAGATG